AAGTTAGGTCTTTGTCGCTAACAATGACCTTTGGACCACCTTTATATGTCATAGTGAAATTATTTTGTCGTTCAGTTGATAATTATATACTTTCTTGATTGTTGTCACATTACACTCATGATTTTCTTTGAGAGTAAGGAGAATGTTTTCAAATTTCACTTGACTCTTACTCATATCAACAAGCAATAAGAGTTCAGTGGATTTTAATATCCTAACAAATGGGTGACCAACTAAAGTGTATGACAAATCATGGTTATGATATCCACACATTACCTTCAATACTCACCCCTCTTCGTTATAAATTGGTTTGCCTCTCAATTTAAAAGGACAGTCGCATTTTCTTGTGCCTAATATATAAGGTTGAACATCATATTTGTATTTCTTATACTTTCCACCCCTTTCACATCCTAACAATACATACGTTCTCCCAAGTTGAGCATTGGCTTAGATCTTATAATAACAACAACAAAACGAAGATCAAAATCAACCCCTCGAACCCACTGAATTGACTCATCACGTGTGAAAAAAATTTAATTAGTTGTAAAGTTATTTGTGTAATCTCCCTTGCACATTTCATTTATAAAATAAGAGATATTTGACATGAAGCTGAAATTTACTTATGATTCCATAAAACTTAAAGGATAATTTCTCATCTTAGACTATAATCACCTACAACATGCATCACCAAAGAATACCTCACTTGTTCAATAATAATTAGAGATCAAGAAATTCATAAAATAAAAACAAGCAAAATAAATTTAAAATTTGAGTGAAGCGTTTATGAACATCTATGATAGTTTCTCCTTGCTTCATGTAGAACATTTCATACTCTTGGATTAGAGTATTCCTTCTTGCTCTCCTAACATCATATGTTTCTTCGTGAGTGACCCTCAACATCTCCCACATCTCTTGAGCTTTCTTATAGGTAAAGACCCTATAAAGCTCATCGACAATTAACGCAGATGATATTATATTACGAGCCCTTACATCCTGTTAGGATCTCCTTCTATCGTCAGCATTCCATTGGTCATGAGGTTTAGGCTCCTGCAAATTGTTAATAAAAATAGTAAGAATAAAAGAACCATTTGTGATAGTTTCCCAAATCTCAGCATCAATAAAACTGATTTATTATTCTCAATCATAAAAAATATATTCTGATCCCCTCTATTTGTAATAATCTAATTCTCCTAAAAAGGAAAATAGGAAAACTAGAAAAATAAAATAAAATAAAAGATTATATATCTATTTCCTCTAATTAAGAAGATTATAAAGATATTATCTCAAATTACAACAATATACAACTCCATGCAGTAAATATATTTCTCCTTACCTAATTAATTTAATATTATATATATATATATATATATATATATTTGGAAGAGACATATTTATCATCATAGTAAATTTTGGAGGTGCAGGAAGAAAAATTAGAGGTGCAAGAAAGCCCCTAAAAATTAATAGGCTTAATACCCTATTTTGTCCCCAGTTTCGCTCGAAAATGTCAAATTATTCCATCCTTTAAAAAATGCGTCAATTACGTCTTTACTTAATAAAATTTTTATCAATGAAATCCCTTCCGTTAATTCCGTACAAACTTCGTTACTTAATAAGAGAGAAAAATAATTAACGCCGTTTGTACGGATTTAACGGAAGGGATTTCATTGATGCAAATTTTATTAAGTGAGGACGTAATTGACGCATTTTTTAAAAGATGGACTAATTTGACATTTTCGACCAAAACTAGGGACAAAATAGGGTATTAAGCCAAATTAATATTATCTTCGAAGCTTCTATCATTTGAAACAAATGGTGTTGGGTCAAGAAATTGAGCATGCCTCTTTTGGAACAGGTATTTTAATACCATTTTGGAAGCTTATGTCATTTAAAACAATTGGTGTTGGGTTAGGGGATTGTGTGAAATTTGGGCATGTGGAAATAAGTCTCTTAATTATGTTATTTGGGCAGTTTCTTCCTGCATCACTCTATTTCTTCGTGCACCCTCGTAAAATCCTTAACCCCTAAAATACCCTTAATACCTTAACCCTATCCTCCTCACCCCCTTAGCCTCCTCACACTAAGTAGAAGGAACTTTGGCAACAACTGTTTGATTAGAAAAAAGTGAGATACACCCCACATTGGAAAACTGTTTGATTAGAAACAGTTGAGAAATCTGGTATTGGATGAGGGGATTGGGCAACATTTAGGCATCATTTGAAACAGTTGAAACAACAGATGTTGGCTGAGGGACTGGACTGGATTTGGGAATGTGAGAATAGGTCTTTTAATATCACCTTGGCTGAGGGGATTGAAAGAACTTGGACAAATTTGAAATTCTACTAACAAATTTTGATGGCCATAAGTCTCTTAATCTCTTACTATTATTCAAAACACTACAAAGCTTCTTAATTTTCATCTTTCTCATAACATATTTTACTAAAGACAAAACACTGTTTAAATAGTAAGATTATGTGAGACTTCAATTGTTTTTTTAAACAATTTTATCAGACTCAATTTTTTTTTAAATAAGTTTAATGCTTTAAGTTTTGTTTGAGATTTCAGTTTTAAACAAATTTCAATATTATTTAAATAGTTAATCTAGATTATTCAATAAAATCAATATATATTTGTCAACTTTTAATTATTAAAAATTATATTTTTAAAATATTTTCTATATATTTTAACATAATTTTAAACAAAATATTTTTAAAAACATAATTCCTTTCGTACAAATACTATATTAATACAAATTAATGAAAAAAAAATAGATAGAAAGAATTTGAATTATTTTGAATAGTTGTAATGACTAATAGCCATACAAAAATGGGTATCAAAACACTTTATTAACACAAATCAAACATTAAAGAGTTATATTAAATAATTATGTTACAATCCTAATTAGCAAATAATATAATGTTAATTACATCATTACATAAACATCAATTTTTTTTATATTATTTAAGAAAGTTTTTCGAAAAGCTTTTTAACTTGATATAATCAAGTTAGTCCTTACACCCGACACACATTCTATTTTATATTTTTATAATATAATACATGTTTACATTATTATAAAATTTAGTTGCAAAGTCCCAGTAATGCTCCTCATAGTCCTTTACTCGAACATCTACTTGTTCTTCTACTCACATATAATATATATACAATCATGGCAAGTGGGATATCAACACACCATAAAAAAAAATAAAAATAAAGGATAAGTTGGATATCAACACCTTCAAAAATAAGGTGTCACGATGGCACAACACCAAGCTGCCTTACAAGTGTTGGAAAGGGGCATCTCAATGTCATCAGCGACCTCGTTCCTTGAGTCTAGAGGATTTCATGAGGCATAGTTGCTCCAAGTTTCATTGGAAGGAAAATCTAGATATGATTGATCAATGGGTGAGAGACATTAAGATGATCTTTAAAGCCACCTAATGTCCTCAAGAAAATAAGCTATCTTATGCCATTTATATGCTCACTCGAGAAGTTGAATTATGGTGGATGGGATGGGCATGAAGCAGATGATGATGATGGAGGATAGAAGAGAGATTGTAGATTGGGGAAATTTTGAGAGATTTTTTGAAAAATATTTTCTAGATAGTGCTAGATATGCAAAAGTAATTGAGTTTATGTACTTATAACAAAGGAATCTTTCTATTACTGACTATGCCACTAGGTTTAAACACCTAGCAAGGTTCTCTATCCAGGCTATGACTGAGGCTTGGAAATGCATACAACCTGAGATTGGACTGAAGCACAAATTGAAAAAAAGTTGTGATTCCTAAGTCCATTAGAAATTTATATGTAATAATGGCATTAGTACAAAATATCGTATAACGTTTGGTTTATCACATAGAATTCGAAGCCGATGTCATATTGGAAGACGTTAAATTGACGTCAAACTCGTCAAATTTAAAAAATTAGACATTAATTGACGTCAAACATAGAGAAAATTGATGTCGGATATTGCTTTATGTCCGACATCAATTAACGTCGATTACATTTATAACCAACATCAATTTATGGTTTTTCTTTAAAAAAAAATCATCAATATTTTCTTCCACGGGAAAATTTTTTCAAAATTTTAGAAGTAGTAACAACCAGTAAAAAGTGCAATAACCAATAAAAATGCAACAAGGAATAGACAAAAAATAAAAATTAAAACTAATCGTGAAGGTGAGGCAAATGGTGTATAAACACGAAACTAATCGGTTAAAATGAAAGGAAATCATACATAAAATCAACAGACATTTGTGTTAAGTGGAAGAAACATTATATTTGGTGGTCGCCGAAGAGAACTCGAAAACTCAATTGTGTTCCAAATGGTGTCCATGCACATAAACAAACCTATGATTTATAAATTATTTGATTCAATAAAATTGAAAATACACCATTTAAACATAATCATGGTAATAAATGAAAAAAAAATATTTTGAAGATATGAGAGAACATTGTAGATGTAAAACAAGCCAAATACCTGAGAGAGAAGAAAAATATTCTGGAACAAAAAAAAGAATATAAAACTAAGAACCAAGATAAATAATATATATATATATATATATATATATATAAGTGTTTTAGTTACTGAATAAATTATATATATTTTGATAATTTAAACTAGAACAGAATAATATTAAGATCGATACGATGACAAAGACAGATAAATACATACTTATTCTCATTTTCACATATACTTTAAAAAATTAGACATTATTTATACTTATATCCTATCAATTTGAAGAGTTATAGTGAAAAACAAGAACAAGTTTAGACAATTATAAAGAAAAAGGATTTATTTACCCATCACTAATCAAGATTTTTTTATTTGTTTTTCTTACTCAAACCAAACTTCTGCAACAGCTCATTGTTAAACTAATCGACTTAGATTGATGATAGAAAATATCGTAACTTTAGATGGTCAATTGGTTATCAATTCAAACCTTAAACTAAATAGGTGAAGTGCAATCTTCCATAATTAACGGCAAAACAACACTACTGGTCTCTACACAGTTTTGAATTATTTTCTGGAAGAATCCTTCTTGTAGAAAAAGTGTCATACATTAATGGAATATGATCCACTTCATTATTTGACATTCCCTGCACTTTCCACTTTATTCTGATATCCCAATAGTCGGTTTCTGAACTTCTCACTTAAGTAAAAATTAACTGTTGTCTTTAACTTCTAAACAAGACCTCTTAACTTCACTTCTATAAAAGGTGAGATTTACAAGTTGATTTATCTATTCATTTTTACACCAATATAGAAATTCATCCAGAAACTTGATTTTGTATTTTTGGTAAGAATGATAGTCATAACACTGCTCTACTTTGCAGTTTGAACTAGTATCTTGATGAATTGAAATTGCTATGCCTCTCGTGCATTGATGGAATATGATCCATTTGATCATTGACATTCCAGGGAGAACCTCTTTGTGACTTTATTCTTGATACCCCCATTTATGCAGGGCTTTCTCTCAAGGCTGACCTACACTGAAATTTTTGCCCATCTCCATATTCGTGGCTTTTAATGCCACCATACACATGCCTCTTTTTCTTTTCCTCCTCCTTTTATTTTCTCTTTCCATGTTTCCTTTCTCAAAATTTCAACCATTTTATAAGTAGATACCTAAAACCATTGAAGAGGCAACAAAGATTAGATAAGAACGACAGCCAAACACCATAGGATCATAATCTGATGGTGCCAATAGCGTTGCTTTAGTAAAGGAGATTTAGACAAATTTCTGTAAAGAAGCATAAATGAAACTTTGTTTCAAAAGCATATAAGCATGTAAAAGATATAAAAGAAATGTAATGCACAAGAAAGAATACCACCATCTGCATTACTTTAAAGATCTATACATATCAATCTCATAGACCCCGTCACCACCTCAACAATAAAAGCCTAAAATAATGTCATGAAAAGTTCAAAGCATATACATAGAATTGCCCAACCAAATAAGCAAACCAAGTTACAAATCGACATTTTCAGTAACAATCTAATTACATACTTTTATATTTGTGCAACTGTGGATTGAAATCTAACAACGTCATGGCCTTTAATGTTCTACACAGCATATAAGTAGAAAGGTGAAAAATAAGAAAAACCTGAAGAGGATATTATGAATAAAATATTATCTAAAGGGTCCATGCAAAAAGATATAGTTAATATAAATTTATCCAGTGGGTTCGTTCTACCAATTTGATCAATTTGAACAGTTACGGTGCAATAAAACATGACAATCATCACTACAATACAGTCATCATCCCCTTATAATCATCTCCAACATGACACTCATCATGAGTGATTGATGAGTTATAATAATTCATCAGAACATTCTGACCTCTGAAGGCACAAATAACTAGAACTATAGGAAAAAGATAAAGTGTGATTTGTCAAGAAAGAAACAAAAGCAGCTTCAACTCAACGAGATCCACTCCATACTGTTCCGTAACAAACCCCGAGTGTCTGCATGCGCCCGCCGTGATTCATTGCTGCTTGAGAATTATCTCTTTAAGACCTTTACTAAAGCTAGCTGGCGCGTGTGCATGTAGAATTATGGGAATCAGGTGCAACTTAAAGACCAACTTAAAGACCAAGATGTTTGTAAAAATTGATTGAATTTTAACGAATATACCTAAAGTTCAATGCAACCTTGAACCTGTAAATAAAAGAGATAATTAGAGTTGGGAACATTTATAAGGTCTAACTCTTCGTGATTTCTTTTATTTTCATTTACTAAATTTAGATCTTGTTTAAGAGAATAATAGTTATAGCCTAATAATGTAAATTTTTCCAATGGCTACTGTTAATCTGATATTTTTTCTAGGCTCAAACATGCAATTCTAACCCAAAACACGAGTTTTTTTCATATTCAAATATCAAATTCATACTTCTTTTAGGAAAATCAGAAATATATTATCTGAAGCAGCAACTTATTAATTAGTCTATTTTGACATTTTGTATTTATACATTAAAGATGTAAAAAAAACTCCATGCTGTTTCACTTTATTTATACATCAAAGATGCATACACGCTCCATGCTATTTCACTTTATTTGTAAATTAAAGATGTACAGACAACCCATGCTATTTCACATTGAGAGAAAAGAGAGAAGATACTATCTTCTTTTGGTGAATCAAAAGTTAAGTGACTTACGTCCCAAAGATTTACTAGAGTGAAGAGAGATCTCAAGACTCAAAGCAACCTTTAAGATAATTATTTATTAACAAAATCCTTGCATCGACACGAAAATATAGGCCCACATATTCGGGAAATATGAGCATGATCCATACCAACTAGACTAACTTTTAATGACATGCGTAGATATGATATAACTGGAGTGAGAGATAGCAAAACAAATTAGGAGTGCCCATATCATTATTCATGAATGGAACATGTAAGACAGTTTTTATATTTTTTTTTTTTTACAAAAGTTGATGGATAGATCATTGATATGTCTCATACTCTTAATTCTTCATATGACCGCTTTTTATTTTACAAAAAGTAAAATAAAGTAATGGCGGTACATCACTTCAATGGAAGAAGTAGCAAGAGAAAACAAAATTACATAAATGTTTAGAGAACAAAATTTGTAACTGACAACCATATATATCTGCATGCAATTTTCTTTAATTTCGACACTGCAACAAAAACCACGATATAAATCCATGCTCACTGTATAGAACAAGTAGAAGCAAATGCAACAAAAGGGAAAAAAAAATAACAACTGAAAGTTTTTCTTTTGGTCCATAACTATTGAAAGGTTAGTTGAAATTTTGGCAATTGGCAAAACATGGCATTTTTGTGTGATTTTGGTGTTTGAGCCCACAACAGGAACCAAACCGTTCAATCGATTCGATTCCAAAGCAGAAAACAAGCAACAAAACGAAAGACGGGACCTTTGCTAAGCAAAAATCTGCATTTGCTGGATTCTGTACGCATGGGAATGTATGTGAATGGGCAAGGCTATGGCCATGAACCCTCCAAAAACTCAATTATCACATTCACACTTCTTCAAACGAACAAAGCAAAAAGAAAAAAGCAAAGCTGTCGGCTTCATCACCATCTTTATCTTTAACTTTTACCTACTCTACGATATGCCCAACCCAATGCTTCTTTTTTTCAGAACCATGTTCCTGCTTTTACGCACTGTATAAGAACCCTAAACCCAAACCATTCAAAACCATTTTCCAATTTCCATTTTCCACCGATTCTCAATTCCCAATCAAGCAAACACTAAATCACACAAAAATGGAGATATTATCACAAATGTGGTCTCTGTTAGGGTTACTCACCGTGCTCCAAAACGTTCTCCCATCCCAGCTTCTCTCATTGCTCCATTCCTTATACGAATCTCTGCAAGATCTGCTTTCTCCATATTCCTATTTCGAGATTCCAGAGTTCAACGGCTACTGCGGCGTCGACCTCAACGACCTCTACCGCCACGTGCACCTCTACCTCAATGCCGCAAACCACGCCCCCGGCGCCGCGTGCCGCCGACTAACGCTCTCCCGCTCGCCTTCCTCGAACCGCATCTCCTTCGCCGTCGCCCCGAATCACACCGTCCACGACGCCTTCCGCGGCCAACGCGTCACATGGACGCACCACGTTGAGACCGCGCAGGACTCACTTGAGGAGAAGCGCAGCTTCACACTCCGCCTCCCGAAGCGCCACCGCCACTCGCTCCTCTCTGCCTATATATCCCACGTCACCGCACGCGCCGAGGAGTTCGAGCGCGTCTCGCGAGAGCGTAGACTCTTCACCAACAATACCACCGGGTCGGGCTCCTTCGAATCGGGTTGGGTCTCCGTCCCCTTCCGTCACCCGTCCACCTTCGAGACCCTCGCCCTCGAGCCCGAACTGAAAAGACAAATAAAAAACGACTTAACGGCTTTCGCTGACGGCAAAGAGTTTTACAATCGAGTGGGCCGGGCCTGGAAACGTGGGTATTTACTCCATGGCCCACCCGGGTCGGGTAAATCAAGTTTAATAGCCGCTATGGCAAATTTTCTGTGTTACGACGTTTACGACTTGGAGCTAACCAAAGTCTCTTATAACTCCGAGTTACGGTCGTTACTTATCCAAACGACGAACCGTTCTATTATCGTTATCGAAGACATCGACTGTTCCGTTGACTTAACGGCAGACAGATCAACGAAGAAAACTCAGGCAGCGAAATTGTCGAAGAGAAAGAAGTCTCAGACGGCGTCGTTCACGCGCNTCCCATCCCAGCTTCTCTCATTGCTCCATTCCTTATACGAATCTCTGCAAGATCTGCTTTCTCCATATTCCTATTTCGAGATTCCAGAGTTCAACGGCTACTGCGGCGTCGACCTCAACGACCTCTACCGCCACGTGCACCTCTACCTCAATGCCGCAAACCACGCCCCCGGCGCCGCGTGCCGCCGACTAACGCTCTCCCGCTCGCCTTCCTCGAACCGCATCTCCTTCGCCGTCGCCCCGAATCACACCGTCCACGACGCCTTCCGCGGCCAACGCGTCACATGGACGCACCACGTTGAGACCGCGCAGGACTCACTTGAGGAGAAGCGCAGCTTCACACTCCGCCTCCCGAAGCGCCACCGCCACTCGCTCCTCTCTGCCTATATATCCCACGTCACCGCACGCGCCGAGGAGTTCGAGCGCGTCTCGCGAGAGCGTAGACTCTTCACCAACAATACCACCGGGTCGGGCTCCTTCGAATCGGGTTGGGTCTCCGTCCCCTTCCGTCACCCGTCCACCTTCGAGACCCTCGCCCTCGAGCCCGAACTGAAAAGACAAATAAAAAACGACTTAACGGCTTTCGCTGACGGCAAAGAGTTTTACAATCGAGTGGGCCGGGCCTGGAAACGTGGGTATTTACTCCATGGCCCACCCGGGTCGGGTAAATCAAGTTTAATAGCCGCTATGGCAAATTTTCTGTGTTACGACGTTTACGACTTGGAGCTAACCAAAGTCTCTGATAACTCCGAGTTACGGTCGTTACTTATCCAAACGACGAACCGTTCTATTATCGTTATCGAAGACATCGACTGTTCCGTTGACTTAACGGCAGACAGATCAACGAAGAAAACTCAGGCAGCGAAATTGTCGAAGAGAAAGAAGTCTCAGACGGCGTCGTTCACGCGCTGCGAGGAGAGTGGGCGCGTGACGCTTTCGGGGCTTTTGAATTTCACCGACGGGTTATGGTCTTGCTGCGGTGACGAGAGGATTGTGGTGTTCACAACAAACCATAGGGATAGTGTGGACCCCGCGCTCGTGCGGTGTGGCCGCATGGACGTCCACGTCAGCCTCAACACGTGTGGGGTTCACGCGTTCCGCGAGCTCGCGCGAAACTACCTCGGCGTAGATTCGCACGTGCTGTTCGAGGCGGTTGAGGGTTGCATTCGCTCGGGTGGGTCTCTCACGCCCGCACACGTGGGAGAGATTTTGCTGCGGAACAGAGGAGATGCTGACGTGGCGATGAGGGAAGTGCTGGCGGCCATGCAGGGACGGATGCTGGCCGCTGCTGCCGTAGCTGACCAGGCGGAGAACGAGGACACGACGGTTGGAGTGAGGTCGCCGGAGAGCGTGCTGCTGATGGGGTCGCCGGAGAATTGGGATGCTTTGAGCGGAAAGAAGAGGAAGGAACAAAATGGGGGTAATAACAATTGGGATAAAAAGGTCAAGTTTTTCGTTAGGTTAAGGTCGTTGACCAGATCTGACCCTGGTAGATAAATTTTAATTTTTTTTTTCTGAAGTTTTGGATGCATGTAGGTTTGTTCGTGTACTGTGATTAGTGTTTTTTTTTATCAACTTATTTATTTTGTGTAGAACGTATAAAATTGCTTCCCTCGTGTTTTTAATGTTTTGATTTAAGGTCATGTTTTTTAGCAACCTTGATCAATGTCTTTCCGACAGTAGCACCATAAAATTACACGTGACCAAAATATCATTGATTTTTTTTTCAACAAAGTTCGTTGATTCAGTTGCCATAACATAATTGTAGGTATATCATTTTAAAAAAACATCATTTTTTAATAAAATTCTATATCAAAAAATGTCTTTAAATTTTAATAAATGAATAGAATTTCAGAGATTTCTTTATCTTTAAATAAGGTGACATAAAATTAAATTTATTTATCTTTTAGACTGATTAGAAAATTTTGCTTATATTAAAAATTAGGAATAAAATGTATTATTGTGAAAATGGTTCAGATTTGACACATTTAGGCCAGTTAAAGCATGAAAATCGAGTAAGTTTGATTAATTTGATGAGTAAAACTATAGTGTAAAGTCATTAAGACGATCTTAAATTGTTCTATATTTAGGGTTTATATTAGTTTATATTTATTCTGTGAGAAAACCTTAGTATGTTAAATATATTTGATAGAGGATAAGTTTGTCTAACTTAAAAAATAAGTCTTTTCAAAACAGTGATTTATTCATACGTAACTTTTGTAAAAATAACTTAAAAATAATGTTTGAGTAAGTGTTTTTTATTTTTTTCATTTTGAGATTTCATAAAAGAACTTTTAAACATTTATAAAATAAGGTGTTGGCTTTGAAAAAATCTTTTTTAATTAGAGTAATTATCATACCTAATGATGCAATCGTCTTTTCAATTAATTTGTGATAGTACTTTTTACTTCTTGTATAGTATCTACATCTAACTGGAGTTATAGAATGACATAAATGAATATAATATGAAACGTCGTTATTACAACGCAACACCGTTATCTCAAACATAATATTTTTCATCACTAACGCACTAACAACAAGAAGTACAAAAGTAATTAAGAAAAAATATTTACAAAATTGCAAACCAATGTGCAAAGTCTAAACTCTACATAGCCAACAAATGTAAAATAAAAAAAGGAAAATAAAACTAGGAAAAAAGAGAAAAAAAATAAAATGAAAATCTTTTTTCATACCGGAAACCTGCAAAATATTCATCGATAAAGTTTGACATAGAGCGAATTAATTATGGTTATTATTATGTATATAACTCTTTTTTATTTGAATATTCATGTCCAGAATGAATACCCTTTGTATGTGTGGGATAAATTTTGAAAGTTAACATCACTTAAAGCTAATTATATTATATATGAACAAATTTTATCTATTTATTATAAATATCACTTCAAAAATACTAAGAAAATGAAAAACTATTTGTAAATAGAAGTTTTTGGCAAATTTTGTTCTTCCAATCTTCTTTGGATTTAGGGTTTAGGTTCAATTTTTAAAGGAGATTGGTCAACTGTTAAAAAAAAAAGAGAAAGACAAATTATTTTGAAAAATGATTAGTATAAAACTCAATTTAACTTATTTAATGAATTAATTCTTTAGAATTAGTTAGTAAAATGTTTTGTTAATAAATTTTTTTTTAATAACTTTTTATAATTGTTTATATAATAACTTATATTGATTCAGTTTAAAATATACTGATCATCAAAACCAGTGATACATATATATTTGTTTAAAAAAATATTATAAAAAAACGTTTTTTAAATCATATCATATCATGTTGAAAAAGTTGCGATGAAAAATCAAAAATCATAGGATTTCTGAAAAAAAACAAATCCTCTTGATTTGGTTTTTTGTGGAATCATCAAAAGATAAGGTATGCCTCTTCCTCCAGTAATGAAAAAAAAAAAAAAAACAGATCTGTGGCTTCCAATACTGCATTGGCAATCCTTTCAAACAGACCCAACATTATGAGTCTGGTGATTTTAACCACAGAAGGAACAAAATTCCTGCCCATGAACAAATTCCTCTCAAACCCATTTAAAATTACTTATATAATATTTTACATACCAAGTCAACTTTTTTAAAATAATATACTCTGTCATGATAGTTTCACCATTCCAATTTAATTTATAAACAATAGTTCAGCCTCACATGCGAAGAGGGCATCCTATAAGAGAAATAAATGTGAAGGATTGTTAAATAAGATATAAAATGTGAAGTAATTTTTAAATAATCAGAATTTAATTTACATAAGTATTATATTTATATTTGATTCTTAATTATATTATAAAATATAATTTTTTTTTATCAAAATGTTAAAAGTAACCATATACAAACTATCCATTTTAATAAGAGAGAACACCTTTGTATCTTTAATTATAGTTGTCAAAAGGATTATCTAACTTGGTCTAGTTATAGAATCAAATTAACTTGACATAAGTTTAAAAAATTAAAGTTTTGGTTCGATTTATTAGAGTTATTGGATTAAAATAGATAAATATATTTAATTAAAAAAATATAAATTTTTTTAATATTTAACTAAAATTCAAAAGTATAAATTTTTTTTATTTTAGACAAAAACTAAGATCATTCGTTAAAAAAATATAATTTTAAATAAAATCTCAAATAATTTTAATTTTTTAGTTGAAACGAGTTCAATACGAGTGAATCAGATTTTTAGTTGACTAAGTCCATTTTGATCCTATTAAAATTTATAAAATTTTTTAACTCAATTCAACTTCAACTATCATGAACCAGAGTTAGTTCACCAATTTTAATAAACTTTATAATTCTATTCTTAATAACTCAATACAGAGAGTGATTACTGTCTTTATGAAACCACCATTATTAATTTTATTTTTTAAATAAAAATATAATTTTTTCTTTTCTCTAATCTATAAATATATGTAAATATATTCTTCTTTTTATATTTCTAGTTTAATATTAATTATATTTTACAATTAAAACAAATATATGACAATGTATAAAAAAACATATTTAATATTCTTATTTTACTTAAACATAAATTATTTTCGTAAATTATATAGGCACGAAGTTCCTCTTTTTGTCTGAACAAATAAAAATGTCCTTGATTTATTGTTAAATTGGTTTATAAAATTATATTACCAAATGCTCCCTACACCCCCTATACTCAATTTACTTAACTTAAAATAGATGTTGAATATCCGTTTCACCTTCAACCGATGTTGAGACCACATCCGGTTTACATATTTTAACTTTTTTTATTATCTTTCGTTATATTATATTTTTGTTTGTAAACTTTATTTTAATCATATTTTTATTAATTTATTATT